TCCGAGACAGTGGAAACGACGGTGTTTCAAGGAAACGGACAATTATTAAACCGACTAAATAGATCCTGGTACAACTTAATTCTCGGTTAACCAAAACCGAAGGAAATTGATTTTCAAAAAAAATATAGGAATAAAACATATTAAAATTGTTAAAAAAAATTGATTGGTAGATTGAGGCCCGGCCCAATCCAAATTTGGACCCTGTGCCAAATTAAAATACAGAGAAATTTAGTGGTGGAATTTGTAACAATTTATATAATGTCCATATAAATTTACTTTTCCAAAAAATGAAAACATAAACAAATAGAATGTTATATGTGAAATTTTATCTATTTTATAACTTACCAAACAAATCCGGACACCATCGTGCAAATCGACACATGTAAATGATATACTGTTCGGTCATCATGTATCGGTTTTATTGTTTTCGCTCATCTTATGGATAGGGGGTTGTAAATTATAAGATTAGATACTTACATCATAAAAATAACACTAATTTCTCATCATATATTATAAACATTTTACAAAAATTAAAACTTTCCGTGCTTCTTAAAATAATCAAAAAAACACTAATTCATCCTTATATATCACAAACATATATACATATATAATTATAAAAATCACAACATCCCATGCTTCCAAGCACGGGTTAAGATCTAGTATCAAAATTAAACTAAAGCACGACCAATGATGAAAGAAAATTCAGAATGATTCGGTGTTGGGAATCTAGTGCACGTGGCTTTCCAAGAGAGGGAGCGTTAGACGAACGCAAATCTAAAAGACCACATGAGATCAGCACACAAATTGGAGTATGATTTGTGAATAATACAACACTGACTTCATAACACTGCGTTGTGGACTTGTGGCCAACCGCATCGACCGTAGTTTAATCATTGCAAGAAGGAAAAAAAGTTTTATAAAAAAAAACTTAGGAAAAAAGTAGCTTTTTGCATGCGTTTCATAAACATATATAAGTGGTCAATATTATTCTGATATGATCATCATTTCAACTTTCATTTCATTCGTTTTACAGTACTTGTTATACACCAAACCTATGTTTCATGCAGTTTTATATCGTTTATTTTGTTGCTTCAATCGCTACAACTTGGACAAACAAAAGAGCACAAAAGTTTCTCAGTCTTCCATTCATTTGTCACTTTCTTACTTGATATTCGGTTCTTTATGCTTTTGTCCCAAAACCAAACACGTAACGGCGGATGCATTACTATCCACTAGAATGCTAAGATTGTTGACGATAAAGACGACTATGATGTTTGAGAAATGCGATTGTCATGTGTGAATGGAAAGCAACGGATGAGTGGATAGATTGATGATTTTAGGTGACGTTTTTGGACCTAATTTCATAACATGTTACAACTTTTTTAGTTTGGCAATGGAATCTCTTGAGCTATGCAACTTGACACCAAACATGCATTTGAATGTAACGGTGTTGACATTAATTTTATCAACTGAAAGTGCTATTGTATGTAAATCCTCTTTGCTTGGTGCGTATCGTTTGGCATAAAGTGAGCATAATATATATGTGGACGTCCAACATCCCAAACACAAAAATTGGGTAGACTTAAAAGGAATCAAATGATCAAACAATAACTAAAACTGGGGAAGATCATATTTTCAATCATTAGAAAGTGTTCTATCTTAGTCTAGCTACTACGAAGATAGGCAGGGTCAAATTGAGAAAAGCAACCAAATAACTCATCTCCTTCTCCATTTTTTTTGTTTTTTTATATACATTATTCCGGTTTGAATCCTAGTGATGATATAGTGAGAGAAGTAACAGAAAGCACTAAATTACATGTTCTGATCCATTTACATCTTAATGATTCATGTCTTTTTCAACGTTTGTAACAAGATGTCACTCATACTATTCAAATAGTTAAGGAAATCACAATAACAATGTGAAATATGCCGGAGTGTCAAACAATTCAATCACTTCGAATACATCGACCTTTTTTTTTTTTTTTTTTTTTAACATCTCTAGTCGACCTTTTAAATATTTTCGCCAACCGCTTTAATAGTTCTCTTTAAATTTTCTTGATCATCATAACATGGTGTATTCACCAAACTCAAATTTCCTTATCAAAAGCATGGTGCATATAATTAACGTTTGTCCCAAAAGAAAAGTACGTGAGATACGTAAATTAATACACTTTAAACAAATAGATGTATAGACAAGAAAAGTTCGGACAAAAGAGAGTTGTATTATTCTCTTTTTCTTCTCCTTCCCGTAATATCTTATCTCCTTAGTCTACCATGACAATGACACGCAATAAGGTTCGATCCAAAATACATGCATACGGAGGTCCAAGACTTATTGTCTAACACTTTTCTTTTGTTAATTGCGTAATGTCTTAATAGTCTTTAAGTGTGGATTAGATCAAATTTGATGACTATTTTTGGTGTCACTTTCTTAATGACAAAAATGTGAATTATACTTGAAGCTTGCACATCTAATATGGACTCACAAATCTAATATTCATGGTTATCCACATCCCTTATATTTTAGAACTAAGCGGATGTAATTCCTCTTTATTGGTAGGACCATGACTATTAGTATTGCCCCCACTTGTTCTATACGTATCCTTTTTATAGATCTAAATGTTAATGCTACATATTGTTTAGTTTGATGAAGCACGATTAAAAATAAATTATGCATGGATTATGGGGAAATAAATATCTATTGTATTATTTTACAACAAAAACTATAACACGTTCACTTCAGCACAAGCTAATGAAAGAACTATTCCAACCATCGCTACTGCCTATATAGAGCACCATACATGAAAATGTCAATACCACCATTTAACATTATATAGTCTAAACATAATAATGAACAGCTGTGCATTAACTACCCAACTCTGGTCAACTTTACATAAAGCTATTATATATACTTTGGACGTTATTACAATTTACCAACACCTGTTGGCTGTTACGTTACTTATCTTACTTTAATAAACCAAGGCATTGAACTTAAAAATGTCATGACGAATTGAATCAGTAGGGAACGATCTTTATCAATTCAATCGAAAACAAGTCTTGTTTCCCTTTTTTTGTAGAGACGTCCGAATATAGTGCAGTTCTACTTATGAATTTGACTGGTAGACGAAAATAATCAAAAAAGTCTAAATAGTTGTATAATTATTCAACTTCCCATTTTCTTTTCGATTTGGTGTGTTTGTGATCACGTGCTATCCAGTTGACATTTACCAGTTTCTTGCTTGACCAAGGAAGGGAACAAAACAGGAGACAATAATTATTATGGAGAATTGTGTTTTAAATTCTTCGAGAAAAGAATAGTAATCATGTGATAGCAATATAAAATTTTAATTAAGACAGAAGGTTGTCCTTAGATGTCAACACAATGTCACCATCTTGTTGATTAATGAAGCCAAATGAACCAGTCATCTCGGTTTAGACAAATAAATGCAGCTTTATTAGTCAAGTGAAGAATAAAAGTAATTTCAACTTGTCAGTTCAGTTTCACATGAACACCATTAGTTTCATCGAGTTAAACCTGTACTTTAAAAAATGTGATCATATGTTATAATTTTTAAAAGACATTAGGTACTTTAATCTGTAACTAGTTCTACCTTTTAAATAATGAAAAAAATTGAAATTTGCTTATATTATATAATCATAAAATAATTAAAATCTTTAGAAAAGACTACAGTACTTATATCGAAGAAAATCTAAGTTTCTTAAAATGCATTTCAATTTTGAAATAATATATAATAATCTAACTATTTTAGTTGATTTTGTAAGCTAAAGTCCTAATTTTTGAAAAATATGAGATTGATGACAGTTTTCCTTTCACACACACAATACCAATCCAATGGTTGAATAGTCACGCGTTGGACAAAACTTTTTAGAGTTTGAATTTTACAAGAGACATTTAACATACCTTAAAATAATATAATTTTCTTAATGACTTATATCAAGGTTGTCTGGCTTAACATTTAACGTATCCTTAAAATAATATAATTTTCTTAATGACTTATTTCAAGGTTGTATGGTTTAATTAATTACCTTCCGTTTTTTTTTTCTTTATTGATGATGTAACTTTCAAAAAGTTTAGTGTCCCTTAATGATTATTGTACTACATAAACCCCCAAAATCCCTTTATTTATCCTTTTTCTCTCTTGTGTAGTACTGATGTCAACGTGCGGTACATAAGAACCCAATGCTCCTTTATTAATTCTTCTTGATTTGTGAGCTTTCTTCTTCATCTCAACTTCTTCTATATAACGTCTAAAACACTCATCAAATTCTTGGGCTAAAATCTACTACCATTTGTGGCTAATTCTTTGCTCTTCGTTTCGTGTGAGTAAGCATTTAATGTTTGAGTCTGCTCTTCTTTTATCTTTTTTGGGGAAATGGGAGTGTGGTCCTCATGTAATCTTGTTTCATCACTAAAATCGTGTTTGTTTTTCTTTCCTTTCACCGACAAGAACACAAATTCGATTGGTTTTTTGGTTTACAGATTGTTCTGTTTTAATTTCGGAAGTCAACTAATTCATCTTGTTACTGTTTTAGATTAATGGCAGATTCTTGAGTATAAACCAAAGTCACTGAGTCTGTTTTTTAATCTTTTTAAAAAGATCTCTGAGCAAAAGAGATCATTCACGTCATTTGATTTGATTCTTATGGTTTAACTTTACAAATTATGCAATTACACTAAAATTAATTTATAGCTTTGCCTTTTTTAGTTTGTGTGGCTAAGTGACTGTTTCTGCTTCAGATGATTTGGGCGTGGAAAGCAAGAACATTTATAAACTCTATTTAAAAATTCCCAGAATCGGATTGATCCAAAAGAGGTAGCCTTTTTCTCTCTCTCTCGTCAGTTTCCTGGAAAGTAAAGTTTTTAAAATATTTTTAAATAAAGAATCTGTTTTTTGGGTTTTTGTTTTTCTCAAGAACTGCAAAAAACAAAAGAAGAAGAAGAAGAAACTCTGTTTTATTTCTTTCTGGGAAGAAATAACATGAGGAGCTCGATGGTGTTGGAGAGAGAGGCAAGAAGTGAGATAGAGAGAGAAGAAAGAGATGACTTGGAGGAAACGCAAAACGAAGCAGATGAGTTCAGGTCAATTCCTCCATGGAAGAGTCAAATCACTTGCAGAGGAATCGTTGCAAGCTTGATCATTGGTGTAATCTACAGTGTGATTGTGATGAAGCTAAACCTAACCACCGGTTTGGTTCCCAACCTAAACGTCTCTGCAGCACTTTTAGCCTTTGTGTTCCTTAGAAGCTGGACCAAACTACTCACCAAAGCTGGGATTGTGACCAAACCCTTCACTAAACAAGAAAACACTGTGGTCCAAACATGTGCTGTTGCATGTTACAGCATTGCAGTTGGAGGTAATTTAGTTTCATGTTTTGGTTAGGATTAGATTGTTGGAACTTTTGGGTTGATGTGATTTGCAATTTGGCAGGTGGGTTTGGTTCGTACCTTCTTGCTTTGAACAAGAAAACTTATGAACAGTCAGGAGATCATACGGAAGGGAATAGTCCTGGAAGCACGAAGGAGCCCGGAATTGGTTGGATGACCGCTTTCTTGTTCTTTACATGCTTTGTTGGTCTTTTGGCTTTGGTTCCTCTAAGAAAGGTAGAGACTTTAAAGCTTCTTGCTTCATTGAAGTTAGTCACAATCTTGTTTGGGTCAAGATTACTAAGCTTTTCATTATGGGTTTTGTTTGGGGACCAGATAATGATCATAGACTACAAGCTGACATATCCTAGTGGAACAGCTACTGCGGTTTTAATCAATGGCTTCCACACTCCTAAAGGCAATAAAATGGCTAAGTAATGATCTTGATTTTTTCTTGCATTCTCTTTCTCTCTGCTTCTCAAGTTCTTGATTTGAACAAAAGTTACAAAACTGTTTGTTTGCTCTGTTGCTATACAGGAAACAAGTATATGGGTTTCTGAAGTACTTCTCCTTTAGCTTCATTTGGGCTTTCTTTCAATGGTTCTTCTCTGGTGGCTCAACCTGTGGATTCATTCAGTTTCCAACATTCGGTTTAGAAGCTTACAGTAACTCGTGAGAACTACTACTCTTAGTACATATCTTAACTGACTAAAAAACAGAATCTTGATGAAATCTTGAATTTGTTTTTACAAGATTCTACTTCGACTTTAGCATGACATATATTGGAGCAGGAATGATCTGTTCCTACATTGTTAACTTATCTTTGCTTTTCGGCGCGATTACTTCTTGGGGAATCATGTGGCCTCTCATCAAAGGTCTTAGCGGAGATTGGTACCCTTCAAGTCTTCCTCCAGGCAGCATGAAGAGTCTCAATGGCTACAAGGTTCATCAAAAGACTAATAATAAACTCGCTCCAGATCTTTAGCATAATTTAGTGATTCGGTTTGTTTGTTCATCATTCTTACAGGTGTTCATATCAATCTCATTGATCCTCGGAGACGGTCTTTACCATTTCATCAAGATCCTCCTAATCACAGCAAGAAACATGTACAACAAGCTAAAGAATCACCACTCTGGCAAATCAAGTAAGTCTAAGCTATTAAACTCGTTACCATAGTTTAAAGACTTTTATATCTGATGTTAGAGACGTTACTGCAGATTCCGAGAACGATAAGAGATCTATTGCGGATCTTAAAAGAGATGAGATCTTTGTAAGAGACAGCATTCCTTTGTGGGTTGCAGCAGTTGGATACGCAGCTTTCTCTGTTGTCTCCATCATCGCGATCCCTCTCATGTTCCCTGAGCTCAAATGGTACTTCATCGTCGTTGCTTACATGTTAGCTCCGTCGCTAAGTTTCAGCAATGCCTATGGAGCAGGGCTCACGGACATGAACATGGCTTATAACTACGGTAAAGTCGCTCTCTTCATCTTAGCCGCTATGGCCGGGAAAGAGAACGGTGTGGTCGCTGGACTGGTCGGTTGCGGATTGATAAAATCGATCGTCTCGATATCTTCTGACCTAATGCACGATTTCAAGACTGGACACATGACTCTGACCTCGCCTAGGTCGATGCTTGTGAGCCAAGCAATCGGGACAGCGATCGGCTGCGTCGTGGCTCCTCTCACTTTCTTTCTGTTTTACAAAGCTTTCGACGTCGGAAACCCTAACGGAGAGTATAAAGCTCCTTACGGTTTGATTTACAGAAACATGGCGATTCTTGGTGTTGAAGGTTTCTCTGCTTTGCCTCAGCATTGTCTTCAGCTTTGCTACGGGTTTTTCGCTTTTGCGGTGGCGGCGAATCTCGTTAGGGATATGTCGCCGGAGAAGATCGGGAAGTGGGTCCCGTTGCCGATGGCTATGGCGGTTCCGTTTCTTGTCGGAGGGTATTTCGCCATTGATATGTGTGTTGGGAGTTTGGTTGTGTTTGTGTGGAATATGAGGGATAGGGTTAAAGCCGGTTTAATGGTACCGGCGGTTGCTTCCGGTTTGATATGTGGAGATGGTCTTTGGATTTTGCCGTCATCGCTTCTTGCTTTGGCCGGAGTGAAACCTCCGATATGTATGAGCTTCATGCAGAGTAAATAGATAAGGTCAAAGTAAAAAATATAGAAGTTTATGAGTTTTACTTTTTTTGTTGTGTAGCGTTAACATTTAGCTAAAGAAATGTTTAGGAATTCCGGAAATAATATTGAGTTTGAGAAGTTTATATATATAGAGAAGAGAATTTGAACTCAGTATACAAAAACTTTTCTCTAGTTAGGAGGATTGTAACTCAACAGGGAAAATATTTTCAGTTTTATTATGTTTTGCTCATTTTTTTTTTTGGTGAAGCACCGGGAGCTAGCTCCCAATTTTATTAAAGAAAAAAGAGTTTACACATGGACTTGCCGCGACCTCGAGACTCCACGCTCGTCATCACAAAGGATAGACACTAAGCCCGGAGGGACTGAATCAAATGAATGCAATCCTAAAGGTAAAGAAAAAACATAGTTTGCCAATCCATCTGCTAGATGATTAGCCTCCCTATACGTATGAGTGATTCGGACTTCCCAGTCTTTTGATAAAAAGCCATGGCACAGATGCTCCAGGAACGACAGTGGATGAGTGTCACAGATCCCTGTCTTCACGAAACCAACAACCAATGCAGAGTCCACCTCCACTTCGCATATGTTTTGCTCATGATTTGCATATGTTTTACCTATAATTTCCTATTTTTTGTCAAAGTAATAATATTATTAAATTTGATTTTTAGTATTGATATACAGATTTAGATTGTGATGCATGGGTATCAACTTATTTGAAGTTTAAACAAACACCTAAATATATATGCCCTCGGTAATTTTCTTCATGCTGTAAAAGAAAGGGGTAATTTTCTTTGTTATCAAATCTCCAGCAATCACAACATAAAGGTGACATCTTCGCCACCTCTTCCGACTTTATTACTGTTTATGTTCCTAATCTCTTGCGGAATTTTTGTTGATTATATCTTTCATTCAGATTCTGTTTTTTTTTTCCTGTCTAGCTAGACCGATTCAAGATAATTGAAAATCATTAAAAAAATGCTTGTTTATGTTCTTATTTTTTTTTTTCTTGAAACGTTCGGAGAAGATTGTTTGTACTACATCACAAACCCATTTGCGGTCAGTCTTTTTACCTACGTGTTACTAACAATGACTTCTTTCACCGATGTCGGTGCTGTCTCGGCGGGGATGGTCACATCGTACATATTGATGTACTTCATAGTAAGCATCACCTATACGTATGGTGGTCCTCGTTGGCACTTCCGGTATGGCGCTCGCAACTATCAGGCCGACTCAAGTTTATTTCAGACCCCCGGCAAAAAAAAAGAAAAAATTAGGTCCCTTAATAAATTTTTGTTCAATTTTTTAATCTATTTTTAATAAACAAAATTAGGCCCCTTAATTTCAAACTTCTCATTAATTCACTAAATACACTATATAGCTTGCATTAGGCGCGGACAATCATCTAATTTTTAATGAAAAATATTAAATTTATCTTAAACTAAATGGAGAGAAAATAAATGTTTAAATATATATACTAGGGATATCTCGGGCTACGCCCGGATTCTTTTTTATAAATTTTTTATTTGCTTATAGTAATTATCAAATTTTGTATTTGAGCATATAAATTGTTTACATGTTTTAAAATATTCATAAGACAAAACTCAAAATTGTTAAAAAGTAAAACTACTAACATCCAATAACCTCTAGTATAGGTCCTCTAGTAGAGAATTATTGCATTTATAGTTCTAGTACTGAATAAAAAAAAGGGTTTGTTCTTACTTCAAAGCATAACTCTGCAACCGCCAAGAGAAACTCTAAACATTTGTAGTTAATCCGCATTTTCTCTTTCATTAGCTTCATCTACATCATTGGCTTTGTAACTTTGAAGAAAAAAAACTCCACGTGAATCTCTTGCATCCGGTTTTGTTTCTTTTTGCTTAGCCTTTCTCTCTTTCTTATCACTTTTACAATAGCCTTCAGTTATATTATTAATGGTCATGTATATGCTTTTACTTTAGTCATTTTAGTTAATGCATAACTTTCTTTAGGTTCACGTCCATGACCACGTGTAAAACACATCACTATTCCTAGTTGTAGGTACGATAGTAATCCCACATAGCGTAGCAAGTGAACTTGTTAATTTGTTTATCTTTCATTTTGGCTAGACAGAGATGGACCCTTAAGACATTTTCAAATCTTCTTGGCTCAAGCTTAACCTTAAATAAGTCTTCCCTCATCTTCATGCTTATCATGCATTCAATTTATTACAATAAAATAAATCGTTGAAGCTTAGAAGTACCAGTATGAAACAAATGTTATTGATGAAACGTCATATAATTGCTAAATTATAATAGTTAAATGGTAACACAATTACAAAAAAAAAAATGTAAAAACCAATGCAAAACATTGTTTCTGATAAAAAAAAAGAAGAAGCCGTCACATGTTGCTGGTTCTGAAAAATTCCCAATCATTTCACCCACTGTCGAGTCTACTCCTTGAGGTCTCATATGAACCATCATTACCTAACAGGAGTGAATCTAAATACATTTAACATCTTCAGATTACTACTTTAAAGAAAAAATGGTCCATGGCTTTTTTGGTTTTCTACCTGTGGACCATATGAATCCAACTGCTTGGGTGAATAAACATGATTCACCACTTCTTAATGCCGCTATCAGAGTTCTTGCATCTGTCCAATCTTCTTCAAGCGGCTTTGATCCATTTAGTCCTGCAATATCTCGTTATTGTACTTTAAAATTACCAGAGAAATATAATATATGTGGATAAATCTATAATATCTAAATATATATGTGATAAATAAAAATGGCAGCAGAGCTGCTACCTTGTCGAATTGGAGCATCAGCTCAATCCCAACAATCTTTTCTCTCGATCATGCTAAAATTGTGTGGTAGTAACTCGGAGGTAAGCAAAATCTGTTGAAGATAATGGTAATCAAACATTTTCGAGTCCTCATCATTGGAGGAACAACTGATTTAGAGAATTTACAACTCCCTTCAATATGCAGGCTGTTTGATTGCATCACAATTAAAATGGGTATTGTCATTTACAAATATCTTGTATAACACTAAGCTACATGTGTATTATCTTAAGTACCTCAGCGCATACCTTTAGATCACTGGAAAGTCAAATCCTCAATCCTGATCCAAATATTTATGTTTTTCGGTGAAAGAAATATAGAAGCATAAGCAAGAGTGAAGGATAAGATTGGACATGTATCTTTGGTGAAGAAATTAGAAACCTGGATTGTGTGACTCACAGCTCTGGAGACTACATGAGTCATGGTGCACACGTATCTGGATTTATCTGACACAAGCGTTGAAGAGCATCAGTTAGTCTCCAACTACATACTGTATATGGTTAATTGTTTAAAGTTAAAACACTAATCAATTGGTAAAAAGTTTTAGGACAAATACTGAATATGGAGGCATATCTTACCTGAGTAAAAGAAAAAGACATACCTCACTCATCTGCAGATCCACCAACATTGCCTCTGCCTTTTGTAGTTCCTCCTTACTACATAAACCGGAAAATTGTAAGTACTCGAGAACAAGTGTATACTGGAAACAAAGACATGAATCACAAACTACAACGAAAAAGAATTGTTTTAACCTCAAAATCGAAATGCCTTGCTTCTAAGCTACATGACCACTAAATCATTATTCAAACGTACCAAATACAGGGTAAAGCAAGCAAACCTTATCATAGCCTCTAGCTTCTTCAAGAAAAGGTAGACGAAGTTGCTTGGAGAAACTTGCCTGCAAGAAAAACACAAAACAAAAGACCTGAGATTTCAAAACCAAAAGAAGCTCTATTTTTCGTTCTTTCAATTTTGCTAAACGAAGAAAAACGTTTACATGAAACTAAAACCAATGACAGCAAGAAAGACAGAGAGAAACAATGGTGAGTGAGATGTTGTGACCAAGCTTTCTGCAGAAGTTACCAAAAATCGAATAAAAACACTAACTTTCTTCTCTAAATTCCAATCTTCTAGACTAGTTTGAATCGCAGAAGAAGAATTTGTATGTTATTCTTTGAGACTAGTTTGAATCGAGTATGAAAAACCAAACAGAGTTGATTATTTAAACCTAGCAGACTAGAAATTTGTCTACAATAGTCCAGTCAAACTAACCATAATCAAGCAAAACTTAAGTCTGAGATCTTCTCCTGATGCTCACCACTGATCTTGTGTCAACCTAACAATGAAATTACACAAAGCACAGTATCAGTCATCAGCATGAAGCTCATACACATATCTATCAACATATGTAGAAAAGGGAGATATACCTCACAGACGTTTGAAGGGAAAAGGGTTACTCAAGGATGATGAAACTGGTTCAAGAAAGCATATCGAGGAAGCTTTTGTTCAATCTCCCATCAGACAACATTTGAGTGACCAAGCCAAAGGTGGAAGCATCTGCAGCAAAACCCGCAGCTCTTCATTTCGTTGATGAGTTCTGCTGATGCGGCTTTGTCACCATCTCTAAGATATGCCCGGATTAGCGTATTGTAAGCACCGCTATTTGGGAGAGGACCGTCTTCTTTCATTTTCCTGAACAAGGCACTTGCTTCCTCCTTTAAACCTTTCTACAGAATCCCGAGATCATTGTAGTGTATGTTACAACATCAGGCTTCACTCCTTTGACTGAGGCTACAAATAACTTCCACGCATCTTCCACCTTCCCAGCCTTGCACAACCCTTCAATGATAATATTATAAGTGAAATATCAGTTCCATTTCACTCTTTTGCATATCCTGGAATATGACCAATGCTTTCTCTAGCTTCCCGTTTTTACAGAGCCCATCTAACAAAATGTTGTATGTCCAAATATCAGGAGGCACACCAAGAAACCATCTGTTTGAAAACTTGTTGGGCATCTCACAATCTCCAGCTTGGAAAAACCCTTGGATAAGAGTGTTGTAAGTGACTGTGTTCGCCAACCAATCCTCTTTGAGACATATCACGAAACAGTTCCATGCCATCCTCTACCCTCTTAGACTTGCAAAATCCATTTATCAAGAGTATTATGTCACTACGTTGGGAGACAACCTTTGCTAACCATCAAATCAAACATCTGCTTGGCCTCATCTAGGCGACTCTGCATGCAAAACCCATTGATCAGTGAATTATAAGTGAAATATCAGGAGCTATAGACCTTTTGATCATCTCCTCGTACAATTTTCAGCTTCCAAAAGCTTCCCCTCTTTCACAAACCCATCGATCAATGCATTGAACGTAACAACATCGGGTTGATTTTCTTCTCAATCATATCACTCAGTAATCCAGCAGCATCTTCCCATCTTCCGTAATTACAAAGGCAGCTTATGAGGGAGTTGTAGGTAACAACATTCGGTCTAATACCTTTCTTCTCCATTTCATTAATAGGTTGAGAGCATCATCCGGATGCTGTATTTGCAAAGACCATCAATGACTGTGTGTAGATCACAACATTGGCTCTATTTTCTCTTCCATCTTCTTAAGAAGCTTTAAAGCCAATCAGTGTCACCTCTCTTACATACTCCATTTACCAACGCACCATAAGTAAGCAAATCTGGTTGACATCCTTTCAGCAACCATCCGTTCAACTAAAGCCACCGCTTCAGACTTTGTTGTGGAGAAAAAGTCCATGGATTAGAGTTGTAAATGTGACGGTTAGGTTTATATCCCAATCCACCATTTGATCAAGCAGAAGACAGCCTCGAGATCCTATTCCCGTGACAGAAACCATTGAGAAGCGAGTTAAACGTGACAATGCTGGGCTCATACCAAGTTTCATCATCTTCCCAAGAAGCTAAAGCGAGAGGGAGTTGAGAGGAGCGGCAGAAACAGTTTATCAAAATATTGTAAGTATACAGATCATTTGCGATTCTCAAATTTGCATCTGCTCTCCCAGAGATATCACAACATCATACTTCTTCATCTTTGCAATAGCACTCAACAACTTATTGAAATCGATATGGAAGGCAAAGGACGAGACTTGACCATTTCACTGAACAAACCAATAGCATCATCTAACTTAATACCATTCAGAAATCCACCTCTAATCTTCTCTCTATAATCATAGCTCCCACCAGAGAAAGCTCGAATCCAGCAGCAAAGGGAGAATGAAGGAGAAGCAGTTACAGGATTACCTTCGTTCACCAGAAGACCCCGATGAGCAAATCTCTTGGCCGTAATTGAAATCGCGAATCTCATCTTCTCGAATTGGGATTCCGGTGATTGGGTTTCTTCGCAATCTCTCTTTGTCTTTCGATCTGTAAAACTCAGTAAACCCTTGAATCACATGAACAGTGAATGTTCTTCAGCCACTGAGTGACGAAGAGAGAGTTGGCTCCAAAAGCCGGTTTACTACTTTCTCTTAATTTCCCTATTGAGCTTCCGGTTTGCGTTTTTTTCTGGTTTGTTTCTCAATTTGGTGGGGCTTACCAATTTGCGTTTTATCTATTTTCATTTTATTTTAAAGAAAATGGTTTACTTATTTATTTATTTATTTTTCATTTTACTTAGAGAGGAATTGAGTTCATTTTCATTTTCATTTTCGATTTGTGTAATAAAAAATCGCATTAAAAAATTCCAGTCACACTAGAATAGTTCAAATTGTTAAATCCAATATAACTACATTCAACACGTACAAAATCATACTCCACTCTAGACAAAAAAAAACAAATATGCAAATGATAAAAGCCAGATTTAAGACCAGGTACTGACGATAATACACGTAAACGAAACAGACTTTTTTTTCAAACCATAATAAGTTGAACACCAAACAAAAAACAATCACGATAATTATTATGGTTAAGACCTTGATAAATAAACCGGGTTAACAATCGGAAAATCCAGTTATTCCGGCTAAGTGTTTTCAGAAGAAGATGATGGTTGAGACCAAAGACAAGATGACAGTGGTAATTCCATAACCGGCGAGTTTGTTTCCAGCTCCGACGTCTTTATCTTTATTTCCTGCTGAAACCAATGAACTCAACCAATATGAGAAAATTCGTCTCTCACACAAATTAATTATAAAATACGATTTATTTTGTATTATAAACTTCAACCTGACAAGTGACAAGATTCATTTTTTGGAGGCAAAAGAGAGTACAAAGAAAAAGCTGACATTCACATTCACAAGTTCACACTCAGTTTTGTATTTTTAAATAAAGTAACAATAACAAATCCTTTTTTTTTTGTCAAAAGAACACAACAAAGCAAAAACAGATCTATTAATTCAAATTTACAACATTTCATTGATTAATAAACATAGACGAATCACTTCAAATGTTGATTAAATAGATAAATCCACCCAACATAACCCATCCATCCAACACGACTTCAAATTTGATTTTCAAAATTGAAAATTTAATAAAGTATTGGAGAAACATAAAGTAATGAGAGTAGGTGAAGTTTAGTTTATACCTGGAGGAGATAAAGAAGCTTTTGGCGATGGAGTTCCAGAAGCTGCATAACAAAATATTATTTCTAAAATCAATATCATAATTTAAATAAAAAAAACTCACATTCATAATATTTATTAATCAAGATTTATCAAATTTAAGTCAAAATTCGAAAGAAAATCAAGAAACTTAACATCAAGAAATCAAGATTCTTCATCGGAACCAACAGATCCATACCAAAGATCAAAGATCTGTAGAAAATGTAAAGTTACCGGAACAAGAAGTGAGATCAGTGTCGACGTCACACCGACGGCTGAGATTAAGAGCTTGAGAAGCATTAACGTTGAACTGAGAGAGTAAACCAGGAGTGTTGTAAATGTTGCAGAGACAGCTAAGCTCTTTCTCCACGGCTTCTTTGATCGAGTCGCAACAATCTTTCGAAGGCTTCGTCGTCGTGTTCAAGGCACTGAAGCAGGGGACTAACTTGCTCACGCACGAAGTAGACGCTTGTGCTTCCACCGCCGGCAAAGAAATAAAAGCTATCGCCGTCATCGCCGCCGCGAAGATCATCGTGGACGTCGCGAAACTCGTCATTTCTTATTTCTTCTCTTCTTTCTCTTTAGATGTTGGATATTTTAAAGGAAGGTGGTCGAGTTTTTGTTTTTGGGAGGTTACTTGTGGCTTTTGGTTTGGTTATAAATAAACAAAACTTGCTTAAGAAACCTTTCGCATTTTACTCTTTATTCCATAGTTATTGTTCATGGTTATGTGTCTTTTTCTTTTACTTGAAAAAGTTAGTGTAACACGAATCGATTCGTCTATCCAGCTCTAAATGTGTAAAGCAGCCAAGCCGGGTTGAAGACGACGATGTGTGCAATATTGATCTAAGAGTCTGGGCTGAGAAATCCGTATTGTCATTTGACGGGCCGAGAATTTTTTGATTTTTTAAGTTTAAGTGTCTGCTGACGTGGCAGCGTGGGAGAGAAGCAAAAAAATCTGAACTGGGTGCCTTGAGAAGCCCCAGACAACTGCTTTAAGTTATCAGAGATAGTGATTTGTAGGAGGGTGGTGATGGATTTTGGGTATAGAATGTAGAACATTGGGAGAAAGAAGATGTTTGTCGAGATGATGTGGTTGATTTTATAGGATCTATTAGAGGGTTGAGGAATCGGATTGGACTGGCCATTCAAATCAAGGAGTGAATATGAGGAAGCGGTTATGGTGTAACACGAATCGATTCGTCTATCCAGCTCTAAATGTGTAAAGCAGCCAAGCCGGGTTGAAGACGACGATGTATGCAATGTTGATTTGAGAGTCTGGGCTGAGAATTTTGTACTGTCATTTGATGGGCCGAGATTTTTTTGATTTTTTTTTAAAGTTTAAGTGTTTGCTGATGAAGCAGCGTGGGAATGGGAAAGAAACAAAAGAATCTGAGCTGGATGCATTGAGAGACTCCATGCAGCTTCTTTAAGTTATTATAGATTCTAATAACATAACAAATTTAATCTAAATAACTATTAAATTTTTGTGTGTGCCGCACCCCCTCTAAGCCGGCCCTGCACCCAATTTTGATGTTTTCCCCCATTACTAAACTTTAAATTTGTTTTTGTCGTAAAAGTTGAAACAGCACACTGGAAAGTGGAAACCACACGTCATATTTCTATCGGGGAGAAGAAAATGTTTCTTGGTACGACGTGGACCAAAAAAAAGATAAGAGATCTCGTTTGCTGATTCCAATTCCAATTCCAATTTGATTTCCTCAAAAGCCCAATTCGGTAAAGTCAAAGCCCAACTTGACAAAAACTACCCCTGGTACCATCCATCGACAAGCCAAACCGTAGGCAAAATTGCAAGGGTATTTTGGTATTCTCCACAGAAGTTAAACACAATTAAGTAGGTGAGAATCTCGTTTCCTTCTTCCGTCTTTTGCTGATTTGAGCTTTGGAGCTATCGAAATTCTGAATCTGAAAAAAAGAGAAAAGATCCCATCTTTTTCTTCTTTCTAACACCCGTAAGGAAACTAACTATCACGATCATCATCGTTCTGATCTTATTTCGTTTTGAATCTATCGTAGTTGTTTGTATCTACTAAAAACTGTATCATCAAAGAATTGATTCGGCTCTGGTGTGTTATTTTGCAGTTTAAGGAGAGATGGCTTCAGAGAAGAAGGTCCTTACTTTCGAAGAAGTTTCACAGCACAACAAAACCAAGGATTGTTGGCTTATCATCTCCGACAAGGTTAGATCTCGTCTCTTTGTTTTTGAAAAGACACGATCTTTTTGGCTACTGCCCAGTAGATTTTTTTTCTGTTTCTTGTCTTTACTTCACTAGAGTTATTACTGCATAGAAACCACAATCTTTGAGTAATTTGGGTTCGGTTTCAGCAAGTTTGATGTTGATTTAGTGACATCTACATGATTATGATCTGTGATGGTTGCGTTCTTGTGTCCATTGATGATTGATGGTGTTTGGTTATTTACACTTTTGTTTTCAGGTGTATGATGTGACCCCATTCATGGATGATCATCCTGGAGGCGATGAAGTCTTGTTGTCCTCAACAGGTTTGGTTAAAACAAAATCTGAACGATGTTGGTTTGATTTTAAACATTGGTGTCTCTCAAAATCTGTTCAATGACCTGTTTCTGTTGTGTTGTTGTTGCACCTGTTTCTGTTGTGTTGTTGTTGCAGGGAAAGATGCGACGAATGATTTTGAAGACGTTGGTCACAGCGACACAGCAAGGGACATGATGGAGAAGTACTACATTGGTGAGATCGACTCGAACAGTGTTCCAAAGACAAGGACATATGTTGCGCCACAGCAACCTGCCTACAACCAAGACAAGACACCAGAGTTCATCATCAAGATTCTTCAGTTCCTTGTCCCAATCTTGATCTTGGGTCTTGCCCTTGTTGTCCGTCACTATACCAAGAAAGAGTAAAGAAGCCAAAAGGCTTGCCCTTTTTTGGCTTGTCATTGAATACTGTTACTGTTGTTTGGTCCTTAAGACTTCATCTGTGTCTTTTAACGGATTGTTCTTGTTTGAATCAACGAACCAATACTCAAAATCTGTTTGCTGGTTTCTTCCTCGTTACTTAGCTTCTTCTGTGTTGGTTTTATGATGACATGTTTTCAATAAAAGACTGCTTTTGCCAAATATGATTTCTACAATTGAACTTATGATGATCCATACAATTGTGGTGGAGAAAAGACAGTTTCAGACTCATCTCCTTACATTCTTTTCAACAAAAGTGATAGATAGATAGTAGTATTGTGTTGTTTTGTGTGATGGAGGAAACAAAAAGAGAAAGCAAAACCAGAGAGAGGGACAAGTAAACCGGTAAAGAACCAAACCAGAAGAGTGCAAGGGCTTGTGTAGAAAGAACACTTCATTTCTGGCTTTTATGAACACTTCATCATCAAATGCTCTGAGACTGAGAAGAAAGAGTTTCGATCTTGTCATGTAACGTCACAACAAGGTGATGAGCATCATCAAGAAGCTTCCACACGTCAAGCTGACCAGCCATGCTATTACACTCTTCCACAATCTCATCCATACTACTGTACTTCTGTATGATCAGCTTCCTACGCAGCACCAACGCCGCGATCGCGTACAGCAACAGATCGTCCGTCGGCGGCGCCAGCTGCCGGATCCTGCTCCACGGCGACTTCCCAACACCAGCTCTAATGGCAGCTTGATCAGCCCACATCACTTCCCACAGACAAAGCGTCTGCTCAAAGCTCAGCTCCCTCCTAAACATCACAAGCACCATCCTGTAAACGAAGCTACAATCCTCCGCTTGGAGATTCTCCAAGTGCTTGTAAAGCTGAGAGTCTTTGGACTTGATGATCCTCGACACGATGCTCAGCTGTCTCTGTATCCCTGCCTCGTCGAGCCTGAAGTTGTGCCGAGCTTTCTTCATGAAGCCAACAAAGCACCAGAAAGCTTCGTGATCCTCCGAGATCACGGCGAGGATCGGCGACAGAAGGTCGCTCATTCCTTGGCAGTAGCCTATCTCTGGATCGTAGAGAGCATAGGCTTCGAGAATGGAAACGAGACGAGCAGCGTGGTAAAGCCTGCAGCTTTCTAAGTGTTCGTAGTCTTTTAAACATACAGACTCAGCTAAACCGCGAGCTTTGCTTTCTGTGATCACTGTTGATGATGGAGAGTACGTTGCCCAGTCGGAATTTGCACGTAGCGCATCAAGACGAATGATACGTTGCCACGTAGAGAAATCTTCGTGTACTGCGACTTCTGCTTTGATCTCAGCAGAACAACTATTCTCTTCGGAATTAGTATTATTGTTAATCTCCTCCTCTGGTTTTTTCTCGTCGCTGTATACAAAAGACGGAAGTAGCTGAACATCTTCATTGTCGTTGTCTTCACAAGAGTCTTCTGTGTCGGAAGAATCAGTGTTCACAGCAGAGACAACATCTTGATTTGTCTTGTAATCATCCATGAATCGAACACATTGATCGTTTGCTTCCTCACAAGGAAGTTCCTCCTCGAGATCATCGGTAGTTACATTGGCATTGCCACACTTGAGAAGCTTCTGACACCGTCTCTGTAACTTCTCATACTCTTTCCTACATTTAGAGATCCAAACGATTGAATATGTGTTCTATACGTATATACAAACATTGACTGTGTATATATATATATATATATAAAATATATCAAATCTAACCTTTTTTGAGTTTTAACAGCTTCCCTTTCTTCACTAGTACTGTTCAAATCATAGCTGCAATACATAAGATAAGAGAGAAACAAATTTAGAGTTGGAAGAAAAAAAAGCAAGAACACACAAGGACAAAGGACAAAACACTCACACTCCGAGCAAGAAGAGCCACACTTCTGCACGGATACTTGGATCGACACCCTACAGAACATTATGAACAAGTATTATCAGAATTCAGAACCATAAAGACAAAAGTAAGAATTTAAGACATAGACGGTTGTTTTGTTCGAAAGATTGAACTCACTCTGCTTCTAACTTTCTTCAGGAACCCAACACCACCATCACGGAGTTTTCCTTCCGGTGTAAATAGACTCCTCCACTGATGCGGCGTCAAAGCCCATTTCCTTTTCCGGCGAGACCACGGTGATTTCCGCCGGCTATACAAATAAAAAAATTCAAGTGTAAATTAGAAGATCCAAGAAGCTCAAAGCCAACCAACATTAATTAATAAAATCAATCTAACAGCAAAAGAAAGGAACAATCCGAACAAAGATAGAAACTTTATGATCGGAATCATACTTTCCGAGCTGTGAGCATTACAGCTCGAGCTCTAAAATTTGGATCAGCAAAGAATTAGACAGAATCTTAAGATCCCATCTACATATTCCAAATCTAAGAGCTTTAATTAGGTATTGGGGAAACTAACCGATCGGAAGAAGTAACTGAAGATGGAGAAACATTAGCCACGAAGAGAACCGACCGGAGATGGATCCACGAAGAAGACGAAGATGAAGAAGAAGATGAGGAAGACGAAGACGAAGACGAAGAGTTAGAAGAAGGAGGTGAAGTAGCAGAAGAAGAAGAAGATGAAGATGGCAACGAAGTAGAAGATGGTAACGGAGAAGAAGAAGAAGAAGAATTAGAATTTCCAGAAGACGTTGAAGTATAGCTTCTCCGTAACGCCTTCATCTGATTCTCCCCCAAATGAAATATCAAAATCAAAAAGTCTCCGTCGTGTGCATCAGAGATCTACAATAAAATTCACTCCAATCAACGCCATTCTTCAGTATAAATAATCGGCGACGGAGAATCACCGCCGAAACACCGCCGGTGATTAAAGCAAAGAAAGATTCCGCCGTCTGAGAAACGGCAGGAGAAATCCGGCATCAGAGTTTTAAGAAAAACGATCGTATTAAGTCTCGATCTCAATTTCTGGTTCTCTAAAAGATTTTTGCTCTCTGTGTGAGTGTGATTCGTCAAGCGTTCTTCTTCAGCACGCCGAAACTGAAGAAACAAAGAAATGGTAGAAGAAGAAGAAAGAAGAAAGAAGGAAAAAAAAGCTAAAGCATCCAACAGCTGAAGCCCCTCTTAACCACTTCGCTCTTTCTTTTTCAGCTCTCGTCTTTTTTTTTTTTTAAGGCGCGTGGACTTGCGCGTTGGCTTTAAATCTCTACGCGATTTGGTAGGTGAATTTTGAGTGATATAACGGCGTCGTTTCAGTGTTTGAGTCTTCGTTCGTGGATTTTTACGCGATCGAAATCGGGAGGTGACCAAAGAGGAGGAGACAAGTGGCGAACGATCGTGAAAAGTCAAAAGCTAAAGATTTCATTGCGTCTCAAACTTTACCGCGGCTTTTAACTTTTTAAGGAACATAATCATGATTAATTTTGTAGATTTTCAAGGGTTAATTTTTTTTTATTAACTCTACTAGAAACAAATCTAATCATATGAATGTTGACCTAATGGACCTACGCCTAATTAAGCACTTAGCACCATGGCTATGGAATCGGATATAAGTATAGTGAATGAAATATCTAATTCTGAATAGTTTTTGTTGGGTAGGATGTTGAAATTTTGTTAAAGATCTCCATTGTTGCCAACTTAAGAAAATACTTCATACATACTAACATATAAAAGTCAAAAAAATTATATAAATTTGGATTGATTTGATATGATGTTATAGATAACAGAAGAACATAAATTCATTTGACATATCTTCATCTAGATTCATGAATTTTCAATTCGAAATTGCTAACTATATGGAGAAAAGTGGTCAACTAAACGAATCGTATTTAGCAAAATGAAAATTTAAGATCTTTTTTAGCACAATTGTAAACAAAGACTGAACAGAATTAGATTAATATTTTGTTCATTGTTGATTTTGTTGTGACTTGAGTGTGAGTCGTTAAAGTATAACGGAATAAAGAAGAAAATAACTATGCTTTGTTTTTTTGACTGACAATAAAGACGAAGATATGTTATTAAATTCAAGGGATGTAGCCGCGTATGTCATCAACCCAAAATGGAATATAGTTGGTATTAAATTACAAAGCATATGAAAAAGTATTATTCTAATAATGTAGTACTAGTAGTATCTTATATAAATAATTGCAAAAACATGTTCTTGGAACTATAATTGTTTTAAATGATATTCCGACTAACAAAGAAGGAGAAGTTATTGAGATTTGAATTAAAAGTTCGTCGGATGGAGAAAACTGCAAGACAAGTAGCCAAGTTGTAGGTATAAAAATAACATTATTGTCTTCTAGGGATAGACATTTGGTTGCTTGAAAGATAAGTTATGTCTATATGTATGTAAAATAGAAAAATTGCAATGATAGATAAGTTTGGTCACCACGATAAGTTTAAAAGAACACAAAACACAACAATCGATAACTGTGTTTAACTGTTTATGTCTCCCTCACAAGTCACAACAATGCCGATAATGTCTATCGACGTAAAAATAAAAATAGAAAAATGTTTTATACGTTGAAAAATATTCTGATCAAACTGAGAATTAGTACATAAATTTTACAGAAACTATCGGTGTTCTTGACAATATGTGCACATATACAAAATGTATACAATAAATTAAACCTCTTCTCTTAAACCTATCATCTTGTCTGAAAAATGTTCTGAATCATGGATCTTGGTGATTCTTGAGCTGCAAATTCTAACTGAAGCTGTTCATCATTTGTAAGTCTCCATCCCAATGCACCCAAATTATCTTCAACATGCCTAACCGACTTAATCCCCGGTATAGGCACTGTCCCTTTGCATATACACCAGTTTATTGCAACCTTCAAAACACACACAAAAACTCATTCTTCAAAGTGTTCACAAAACTTCTTGCCAAGAATCTTATAGAGTAAAAGATTACCTGAGGCATAGTCTTTCCTCGTTTCTCTGCAATCTCTCTAACTGCTAAAAGCAGAGGCTCTAGTCCAGGAAGAATTTGTCGAAACAGCAATGATCTGTTAAAGAAAAGTGTTATAAACAAGAAACAAAAGTGTTTGTTTTATCGATACGCCTCAAAGAATACTTAACCGTGGACCAGTGGGGAGCTTTGTGGAGGAGTATTTTCCGGTTAGTATTCCTAAACCAAGAGGGCTATAAGAGATCAAACGAACCCCGAGCTCGTCGCATACGCTCTTGATCTCTAGCTGCTCTTTGCCCATGCTTAGCAATGAGAACTGCACTTGAGCAGAGGATAGAGGAACACCTCTGGTTTTGAGGTAATCATGAATCTTCACAAGCTGTTGAGGTCCATAGTTACTAACTCCAACCGCTCGAACCAGCCCCTGAAGAAACAAGAACCTTATACATCAAGAGGGCTTCATGTTCATTGAAGAGAATCTGATTATTCAGTAGATTTTCTAAGCAACCTTGTCGTACATTGCAACTAGACCATCCCAAAGAGCAATCTCTTGAAGAGGTGCGTAGTTTGCTGTTGACCAGTGAAGCTGTCCGATCCCGAGCTGGTCTATCTGAAGCCGGTCTAAGGAAGCTCTGGAAACACGAACAAGAACATATCCATTTATCATCAATCTCCACCAAACAAGAAGTGAAAAACGGGAAAAATCAAGACTTGGAGAGACCTGCAAGCATTCACAAACTGTCCTGAAGTTAACCTCCATGGATAAGCTGCAAACTTTGTAGCTATCACAACCTCATTTTGTTTCCCTCTTAAGGCTAAGAGCAGAGCACACAACAGTTACATATCAAAGACAGCTCCAAGATTTGATTTTTCTCAAATTATCTAATGATTCAATAAGACTAATCATCTCAAATTACTGAAATGAAGCTTTAGAGAGAGCAGACCTTGAGATTCTTTGATGAATTTCCCCAAAAGTCTCTCACTTTGGCCATTAAGCCTACCAGTGCCATAAGAATCTGCAGTGTCAAACAAATTGATCCCGTTTTGCAAAGCCAAGTCGAAAGCTTGCTGAAGCTGATCGTCCATGGAAGTCTGATATCCCCAAAGAAGCTGATTTCCCCAAGCCCATGTCCCAAAACCCATCGGAGAAACACTCAAAGGACCCATTTTTACCTGAAATTCATCCATCGTTCATCCAATTACAATCAAGAAAACAGAACCCATTGATGACGTATATGCATCGGTCGTGTACCTTTTGCCATGGCCAGAAAAGAGGAAGCTTGAGGGGCTTAAAGCTGGTTATGTTTGAGCAGTTTATGTTGGTGAAAGTCTTTGTGGTGGACAATGTATACGCCATTGAAAATGTTTCGGAGGAGTAGAGAGTGTAGAAGAAGCCTTCCTCAGTCTGTGGCCCAAAATTTTGGATCTCTTTAGAGATAAACTCTCTCAATGCTTTTCCTTTTGAGAATATATTTTTTCACATGTTCAATTAATTTTAGACTTGCACAAAAATTATTTGTTTAATAATAATCCAACCACGTTTAATCTAACTAAAATTCAGAGAGAAACAACATATTTTGATAAGCTCAATATAATAATCTTGGTTTGTGGACTGTCTGGTTTGTGGAATCTAGCCAGTATAACAAAAAATATGCATAATAAATCTACTCCTTCCTCCTTCTTCTGTTCTCTAATAAGAGACTTTTTAGAGAATTTATTTTGTTTACAAATAAATAGCTTTCTCACAAATCAATGCAAAAATTAATGTATTTTAGTTATTTTGACAGTTTGAATCAGCAGATTAACTTTTTATTGGTTGAACTGCGTTGGAGATATAATAAAACATGTTTTATTTTAAAAAAACTAAAAACTTAATGATTATTATTTATGTGCATAAGGCTAGAATGCACTTATTGGAGAACAAATGGAGTAGTAAATAAAATTAATTACGATTACAAAATTGGAAAAATCAAATAAAATGAAACAAAACAAAAACTGGGAAAACATTTGTAAGTTTATCACCCACCCTAATCCAACTTTTGTTTCTGTCATCTAACCAAACCGGAATCCTGGTTAACCCTGACCCGCCATAGCCTAAGAAGATTAGTTGGAAGGATCAAAGATCTGACCAACGAACAAAACAGTTCCAGTTTTGTCTTCTCTAATCAAGAACAAGAATGGATGATCTGCCACAAAATCTATCATCTCATGAGGAGCAAAACATCCCCCATCAAAATATGCAAAAGTGGCAGCAGCAGCTTCAGCGCCTTCTTCATCAATCTCCACACAAGCTTTATGGAACAAGGGCAATGCCAATGAACTAAATCCCAAATCTCGACCGCGTAATTCATCAGCGATCTTAAACTTTGGGATTCTGAACTCTTTAACACAATCTTGATATAGTGGAACGTGACTATCCAAGAATCCACAAGTAGATGCCATTGTCTTCACAAGATCGTCCAATCCATCCTTCTTGTCCGGGAGATAAAAATACATTGAGAAACCACGATTGGTATCATCATCACCACTTGTCTCGATAAGGGGCAATTCGATCGGTATCACCATGGCTTTGTCGATAAGGTATCCTGAGGACCTTGAAACCATCATAAGCCTTTATGTATTGGTTCTTGTGCTGCTCATGAATGGCACAGACACTGAGGTTCCATCGACAAGGTGAAACTCTCCGTCTCTCGTATAGGACTTGTCGAATGGTTTTTCCATTGCTCCTTTGAAGTACAATGCGTTTCCATAAACGACATCGGTTTCTTCTGTGATGGATCCATGAGGAAGAAGATCTTTGATGAGACCATTGGTGTGACTTGATGCCCACGAATTCAATTCACACGGATTTCTTCAGCCTGTTTTTTTTTTTTTATATCACAACGAAAATAACTATGTTAGGATATCAATTATTATATCTTCGTCTAGGGTTAATTCAAGGACGTAAAGTGAGAAAAAAAATTTAGGTTACCTTTGATCGGAAGTCTACGCGATCGAAACTAGCCTTGAAGTTTTTCTCAAAGAGAACCTTGAAAGATGAATGATCAATCGGTAGCGATTGCTCGATCCAGACGCCATTGACCGACGAGATCTTCGGACCGCCGTTCGCGCTATGGTCCGCAAAGACGACGGAAACGATCTCGCTGAGGACGGCGTTGAGCTCTTCGATTGAAGAAGACCTCAGGAAGGAGAGGATCTCCTTGGAAAGGAGATCCTTGGGGAGTTCAGTAACGACGGGACCAGAGGCCGCCAAAGTGAGAGCGGCGTTGATCGACGCCGGCGAGAAAACGGTGTTCGAGTGTTGCTTGGCTTCAGTAGAGAAGAGACGCTGCGAAAGGATTAACGCTAAGTCGTTTTGATTCTTTATAGCTTCTTCTGTAGTTGACTTTGACCTGCTGCTAGAGAGATCGGTAAACATTGTGATTGCGGAAATTTGCATGCGCCTCTCTTTTTCCTTCGATGATGTGATTACGAAAACTTCTAAAGGTTGTATATATAATCACAAACATGTTCGTTTTTAGGATTGGACTTGTAGTAGTCGGTTGTATAATTTTTCCTTTTTATTGACTTTTATGGTTTCCTTACTTTGAGATTTATATTTACTTTTTAATTATGTCTTATTTACAAATTTAGTGGTCGGCTAGTAAAATGTCTTAATAATTGAAGTTGCATGGGAAGTTTTGTTTACCGAACAAAAATGTACATACGGTATAGTCGTATAGTACGAGTTTTTATGGAGAAAGTCCAAAATAATAACCCAAGTACTAACGATACAACGTCGTATACAGCGACAATATTGTTAAGCCTTAACAATTGGAGGAACTTTATCCCCACGTTAAGAATAACATATAACAAAAAGAAGTCTCGAGAATAACATAGTTTCTACGACAACGCCGTATATAACATGTGATTTCTCACATTTCTGTCTTTTTAGGACGTTCGTGTGATCTTCAAAGACTAAAAAATTAAGCTTCGAGATTCGGACGAAGATCTTCTCAACGTTCTGTCCTTCGTTAAGTTAATCGGAAATTCTTCGTCCGAATTTCATTAAAATGATATTAGTATAAGCTTAGGCTTCCGCAAGCTCTTATGTCAATAGAAAATATTTTACATAATTTCACGTTTCTAACCAAGTAAGAAGAGATTTCTGCTTTTATATATAATAAGATACTTTATTTAAATTTTAACAAAAATAAAAAAGATACTTTATTTTTAAAAAATCAGCCACTACCAAAAAGAAAAAAAAAACTGCATACTAAAATTGGTCACAACTAGCTAACAAAATTCGTTATGCATAAAAATTGAAGAAATAATATAAAATAGAAAAAGAAAAACTTCTAAAATATCTTATTAGCAAACCTAATTCCACTTTTTGTTGCCATATAACCAAATCGAAAAATCCTAGATGAGCCTGACCCCGAAAAGCTTAAGAAGATTTTTGGGAAGGAGCAAAGATTTAACCAAGGAACAAAACATTTTGAGTTATGTCTTCTCTAATTAAGAACAAAAATATATGATCTGCCACACAAAAATTGTCGTCTTAGGAGACTCCATATCAAGCTCGGCTGGAAATGTTGTTTGGTCTTATTCTAAAAATGGTTATGTGCTAGTTTTCTTAACGTTGGGCTCTTGTAGTAGTTGTTTTTGAACATTAAGCCTTTACAAAAAGAAATTTTTTAGAAAAAGTGAACTAAGAAGAGATCTGTTACTAAGTTTTAAGAGATTTCTCGCTTTTAATATAACTTACTTTTTTTTTTTTGAACAACTATATATATATGTATATATATATATAACTTACTTTATTAAAACAATCCAACCAATATAACAAAAATATGCATAATAGAATCTAATAAATAAAAAATTAATTATTGAATGCAAAATTGGAAAAAAACACAAATAAAATGAAAGAAAACAAAATCTTCTTAAACACCTTATAAGTTTAACACCAAACCTAAGTCCTGGTTAAGCCTGACCCGCCAAAGCCTAAGAAGATTTTTTGGAAGGGTCGAAAATCTGACCAACAAACAAAACAGTTCCGGTTTTGTCTTCTCTAATCAAGAACAAGAATGGATGATCTGCCACAAAATCTATCATCTTAGGAGGCGTCCATGCCCCAAAACCCACTACAAAAGTGGCAGCAGCAGCTTCAGCGCCTTCTTCATCAATCTCGACACAAGCTTTATGGAACAAGGGCAATGCACTAAATCCCAAATCTTCACCGCTTAATCCATCAGCGATCTTAAACTTTGGGATCCTGAATTCATTAACACGATCTTGATACATTGGAACGTGACTATCCAAGAATCCACAAGTAGATGCCATTGTCTTCACAAGATGCTCCAATCCATCCTTCTTGTCCGGGAGATAAAAATACATTGAGAACCACGATTGGTATCATCATCACCACTTTCTCGATAAGGGGCAATTCGATCGGTATCACCATGGTTTTGTCGATAAGGTATCCTGAGGACCTTGAAACCATCATAAGCCTTTATGTATTGGTCCTTGCTGCTGCTCATGAATGGCACAGAGACTGAGGTTCCATCGACAAGGTGAAACTCTCCGTCTCTCGTATAGGACTTGTCGAATGGTTGTTTCCATGCTCCTTTGAAGTACAATGCGTTGGAGATATCTTGGTGAGCAAGGCGAACCAAGTATTGTGGGCCACTGAAGCCCGTTTATGAAGTGAAGCCCGTGAAGCCAAACCGAATAATATTCTAGAGAAATCCTATTGTGATAAGGATTAGGAAGATTTACATTATTTGGTGTTATCATTATGTTAATGTTAACCCTATATATATGGGTCTTATTCTCTTGTATCAATAACACAATTCAATAATATATTCCCTTCTATAATATTTGTCATGGTATCAGAGCAGACGATCTTTGAGGATCTAAGTTAAAGCTTCCGCATAGTTTAGGTATTATGATGGATGGTGACCATCATAGGTGAAGAGAGAGGGGAAGTGATGATGAAGACAATCGTAGGTTTGTAGTTTATTCTTTCTCTTAAGTTGGTTTTGGTGTTCGTGATTTCCATTAGCATTTTTTAATTGGTCTAGGTTTGATATTTTATTCTTAGTTTATGTTTTGATTATGGGTTTTGGTTTTATTGCGATTTTTTTTTTAATTTATTTGTTTGATACAAGAGTTGAGAGTTATTAGGATAATCTTTGATTAAGGGTTGTGGTTTTCATGGGTTTATTAGTTTATTATTTTTTGAGATTGATTCTTAAGTTTAGAATTTCTCAAAGGTTTTTAGTTTCTCCTATTACGGGGGAGTTTGGTTATGGTTTAGGGATTTTTATTGGAGCGCTCATGTTTTTAGGTCATTTATTCTTTAGTCCAATTTATGGGCTGTCCGCGACAAGGACGATTATTTGTGGAATTGCAGGATTTTGCTTCCACGGGATGTTATTATTCCCTTTCTTTCAAGACCAAAGACGAGCATGTTCCATCCCTATTGACTTGTATTGCCATCCTCGACATGATTGTCCACGACATAGGTGTTCCGCATTGTGACTGCAGATTTTGCGTTTCGCGTCCACCTTTGTCGTGCGGGGGAGTATTGGAGATATCTTGGTGAGCAAGGCGAACCAAGTATTGTGGGCCATTGAAGCCCGTTTATGAAGTGAAGCCCGTGAAGCCACATGGAAGAATATTCTAGAGAAATCCTATTGTGATAAGGATTAGGAAGATTTACATTATTTGGTGTTATCATTATGTTAATGTTAACCCTATATATATGGGTCTTATTCTCTTGTATCAATAACACAATTCAATAATATATTCCCTTCTATAAGATTTGTCAGGTTGCCTCTGTGATGGATCCACGAGGAAGAAGATCTTTGATGAGACCGTTCGTGTGACTTTATGCCCACGTATTCAATTCCACACGCACCTCTTCAGCCTGTTGAACAAATCACATTTTGAGTTAATTTAACAGTTTTGCTTGATTATATCATCGTCTAGGTTAAATCATAGAAACAGAAATGAGAAAAAAAAATTGAGATTACCTTTGATCGGAAGTCTACGCGATCGAAACTAGCTTTGAAGAAATTCTCAAAGAGAACCTTGAACGAGGAATCATCGATCGGCAGCGATTGCTCGATCCAGACGCCATTGACCGACGAGATCTTCGGGCCGCCGTTGGCGCTACGGTCCGCAAAGACGACGGAAGCGATCTGGCTGAAGACGGCGTTGAGCTCTTCGATCGAAGAAGAGCTAAGGAAGGAGAGGATCTCCTTGGCGGATGAAGAACCGACGGGACCAGAGGCCGCCAGAGTGAGAGCGGCGTTGATCGACGCCGGCGAGAAAACGGTGTTCAAGTGTTGTTTGGGTTTAGTAGAGAAGAGACGCTGCGAATGGATCAACGCTAAGTCGTTTTGGTTCTTCATAGCATTTTCGGTGGTTAACTGTGATACTTCAGATTCAACATCCATCATCTCAAGTACAACTACATTATACACGACCATTTGGTATATGACTGAAAGAGTTAAGGAATAGATCCACATTTTTAGCTGGAAACAAACAATTGTTATTTTGCGTTAAATTCTACTCCTTGTGTTACACATTATTTGCAGTTTAAGTAAATTGCATACTAATTAAAAAAATCATTTAATTTTCTATTTTAATTGTTAGATCTGAGATAGCACTCGTTAAAACGGGTTACCAAAAATTGTTCTTTCACTAAGGGTCGGTTACAAATACGTCCGTTACCGCGCGTTATGATACAAAGAAACTTCCACCTTACGGAAAGAAACACAAATTCTAGTTTTATTAATTTCGTAGAATTCAGGACTTCATAATAAGTTACATAGGAGGAGGTTTGGGACCATAACAGTGTTTTAAGATACATGCATAAGATTTTGCACCTTTTGTCTTGCACAGTTTAATGCAAGCACCAACACCACCGTTCGTGTCAAGTGGTAAAGCCACGGGTTTTTCATCGACACAAACACACTTGTTTGCTTCACACTTGATCTTCGTCACACATTTCAGATGAACACAATCGGAGTTTTCTTTACAAGATTGTGCCAGAATTTGATTGCCTGTAGCAAAACAGTATAATATTAAGATTAATATCTTTGTAATGATAATAAATAATAATGATGATGACAATCACGATGGTGATGAACGTAACTAAAGTATGATTTTAAAGATCTTACATATTGAGAAAAGTACAAGACCAACGAATATCAAAGCTAATTTCTCCATTTTGATGAATAAGTTTGTATTATTTTTTTTTTGTCTGTGATTTTGATTTGTATGATTAAAGTGGACGATTTGAAGACTATTTATATTTGTAAGTAAAGCGTTTTTTTCCTTCCTGCGAGTCATATGTTTTGTGAACTTTTTCACTGGTCAATATTTGCATTTATTTTTAGTAAACAACCTAATACAATAAAACTGTATAAAGTAAGAATGTTATGACTTTGAATTTTTTTTTTATGTTGTAGATATATTATTTTAAGGATATACAAGTTGAATTGAATGGGACGAAATGAAAATAACAATTGTTTATCAACATAGAATATAGGTATAAATCATTTCTTTATGAACAATTAATTGAATTGTTTATGAACTTGTAACAATTGTTTATTAATATATAATATATAGTGAAAAATACATTACTACGAGTTTTTATTTTTAAAAAATACCCTCGTGTTTTTTTTTTCTTTTTTTGAAAAATAAAATGACAAAATGATCCTAACTAAATGAATACACGTACGGGTAATGAGATGATACGCAGTGTAATCTTATGGTCTAATGTCTCCAACAGATACTCACAAAGCCAAAGTTGTTTGTTATCCCAAATATGAGAAAGGTTGGGGGGCTGCGTAGATTAAGATTCTTCTAGAGTGTTTGCACTTAGTCTTATAGGACAACTTTTCACTTCATCGGGATCTCTTTGTGTAGATTGGATCCAGGTTTATCTTTCGCGAAATGGACCCCGTCGGGATGCCAAAGAAGGTTTTAAAGGCTCATGGATATAGCGTAAGTTGCTTAAATCAGGAAATGATGTAGTTCTTTGGAAACATGCGCCTGAAGATCATTATCGTCATAGTTTCTGGGGTCAGATTAGGCCTAGAAGGGATGAAGTTGTATGAGGTCGGGCAATCTATCCTGTCCTAATTTTACATAAGAGATTGAAAATATCACTTCAACTGGAACTAAAAAACATATCTAAAAATTCAAATAAAAATAATGTGAAACAGAAGAAGTATTGTATAACGTTACCAATATACTTTGGCCTTTACCAAAAACAAAAATGACTTTGGTTCTTGCATTCATAAATAGGTAAACGTTCTGTCCGAAAAATTTGTCCGTATTTTATAAATTTAACTCGAAAATTTTCATCATAAAATCTCTAGGCTTCCACAAGTTCTTTTCTGAATTCAGTGTCAATAGAAACTCTTGTAGACTTTTTTCTCTTCTGTAAAACTTTTATGTTACGTACCAAGTAAATAAAAATTTCTCGCCTTTGTTTAATATACTTTATTAAAAACAATTCAATCAATAAAAAAAGACACATAATAAATTTGATCATAACTTATTAAATAAAAGTAAACTATGAAAAAAAAAATGGGGGAATTACCATTGGTATATCCAAACATTTAAAAAAAAAAAAACTGTATACCCCATATGACACATTTGATAATTGGTATACCCTAAGAGGTGGTTAATGACCATTTTATCTTCTACGAACAAATAATAAACGAGCAACGCAATTACCAATTTACCCTCGGTGGTGAAGTCTACTGAAGAAGTCTACGTAAAGTAGACTTCAAAACGAAGTCTACAACGATTTAAGATCTTAAATTTAAATTATAAAATTAAAGAAAAATATCTAAACCAAAGCAGTTATACATAAAAAAGACCTTGTTATTTGGCATCTCTTAAAAATATTTTTGCTTGAAAATGAATTAGCCTAAGTACAGCAAAGGCAAAGCATGCCACAAATCTATAAATTTAGAGAGAAGTCTACTCATGAAGTCTACTCTCTTACAAAATCTTAAATTTTAATTTTAGAATTTATAAAAAATATTTTGCTAACAAACTTTTGTTAGTAATCTAAGTAAATACAATGTTCATATATAGAAAATACAAACTCATGAAACTGTATAAGTTTATAAATTTCATGAGTATTTGGTCCATCAAGGATAGAGTTTAGGTTTGAAGTATAGGGTTTGGTAGTATAAGTTGTTAGGGTTTAGCCAAATATTTTTTGAAAACAAGTTTATACGTTGTATAATCATTTAAGGTTCATATATGTGTTGATTATAATGTAATTTGTGTATATTCAACGAAAACTATTTTATTCTATAAGTTTTTTTCTCTAAAACATTCGATTTAGGGTTTAGGGTATGGAAGACTTATTGCGTAGACTTCCATTGTAGATTTCTCAAAAAAGTCTACATAACCGGAATATAATTTACTAATTTAGGGATATATCATTTATTATGAACAATGATTTATTATATTTATTGATGAACTTGAAACAATTGCTTGTTAATTATAGACACAAAATTGGAAAAAACACATGACCATGAATTTTATTTTGAAAAATTCAAAAATTTCAAGATAAAATGACTAAATTATCCTAACTAGGTGAATATCCCATGCATAGTGTGCAGTGCATTCTTATGGTTTGAGTCTCCAACAGATACTCACAAAGCTAACATTGTTTGGGAATATGTTTGTTATCCTAAATCCGAGGGAGGTTGGGGCTGCGTAGATTCATAAATTCTTCGAGAGTGTGCATCTAGACTTAGTAGGCAAGTTTTCACTTTATCGGGATCTCTTTGGGTGGATTAGATCCGGGTTTATCTTTTGCGAACTGGATCCTATTGGGATGCCAAAGAAAGTTTTAAATTTTTAGTTGCTTAAACTCATACATGTAGCTTATCGATTCATTCGCCACAAAATCATAATGGAAAAGACTCTCTTTTTTTTTCCTGGTTTGATGATTAGTTACAAGAGGGAAAATTGATAGATGTAACATGTGATATAGACATTCGGAATTTTAGAATTGCTCGTAATACCAAGGTTTATGATGTCGCAATGGTGTCTATGTCGTGCATGTGGTTGTGTCTATCTTGAATCAGGAAATGAATTAGGTATTTGAAAACATGCGCCTGGGGATTATCTTCATAGTTTGTGGGGGTTAGATTAGGCCTAGAAGTGATGACGTTGTAAGGAGTCGGGCAATCCGGTTCGCACAAGCTGTCCTAAGGTTTACGTTCATCTCTTGGCTGGCCATAGCAAACAGATTAACAACAAATGTTCGAATAAGAGATTAAAGTGATTTAATAATAATTGCCATTTTCATCATATATTAAAATGACGACGGTATGATTTTTAGAAATTAATCATAGACTCACCAGCATTCCATATGATCTACCAAAAAACGAATATAGCCTGTAATTACTGCGATAAAAATTGTTTAGCTAGATGGGTTTAAAACTTGCTTGCCTTTTAAAAAACATCCACCAGTCCAAGCGGAGTCTAATTTCTCGCTGTGATTTACATATCTTTTGTGGCATGCACTTCGGTAGTAATCATCAAACCCACATCTAAACTGCAACTACATTATACACGACCAATTGGTGCAAAAAGGAAATTATATACTATAGACTTCACGCCATTCACGAGTAATCTCGATCAACTACAAGTAAAAGCCCAAGCTTTTGAACCAAACCAAACCAAGGGAAGTTCAACTAATTCAAATATACAGCTATATATAGTATCAGTATTATGCGAGAGAAATGTTTTTTTTTTGGTCAACAGAGAAATGTTAAAATACATTTTAATATGGATTAAAGTTCAAACACAGAATAAAGAAAGTGAAATATGAGCTGACACTCTAAAAAGACCAAAAGGAAAAACAAATAAATATGTATGTCGCTAATAATTTTGGCAGACCATACATATCATTTGTTTTTTACTATATAGTTTATTATTGTTTGTTAGACTTTAAAAGTCAAAAGGAAATTACCAGATTATATAAATAGTTTAGAAGTTTTACATGACGAGCTAATGCGTGTTTTGGTAAGTTGATCTACGTTTCCACGTTAAAAACAACACCAATAATTAAATAAAATTGAGGTTTCACTTTCATGTGATAAAAAGAGACATATTTTTATATACATAGTGTGAATTAGTAATATATACACAAGAGATTTTGTTGGCGACTCAAGGATGCAAAGAAATGGAAAATGTTGTTCGCTTTTATTGTTAAGAGTAGTTGAAACTTGAAAACTTAGATTGTGTGAGTGGAGAACCTCTCGTTGTCCAATTAACTAATCAATGACATATATTGTCAAGTCAAATGACTTTTTAACAACATTTAAATGTTTGGATGAGAGTTTGAGCCACTCCAAAGAGGCAAAGACATCCTTTGTATTATGTTAGATGTGGTCCATAAACGCCAAGAATGCTTTGT